GCCAGCACAGTATGGGGAGGAGGTGAGCAGCCCTCAGTGGTGAAAGAACAGGTTAAGGACTATTTAGAAAAGCTGGACATGCACAAGTCCATGGGTCCAGATCTAATGCATCCGAGGGTGCTGAGGGAATTGGCTGATGTGATTGCAACGCCATTGGCCATTATCTTTGAAAACTCATGGCAATCTGGGGAGGTCCCGGACGACTGGAAAAAGGAAAATATAGTGCCCATCTTTAAAAAAGGGAAGAAGGAGAACCCGGGGAACTACAGACCGGCCAGCCTCACCTCAGTCCCTGGAAAAATCATGGAGCAGGTCCTCAAGGAAACCATTTTGAAGCACTTGGAGGAGAGGAAGGTGATCAGGAACAGTCAACATGGATTCACCAAGGGCAAGTCATACCTGACCAACCTAATTGCCTTCTATGATGAGATAACTGGCTCTGTGGATATGGGGAAAGCAATGGACGTGATATATCTTGACTTTAGCAAAGCTTTTGATATGGTCTCCTACAGTATTCTTGCCAGCAAGTTAAAAAAGTATGGATTGGATGAATGGACTATAAGGTGAATAGAAAGCTGGCTAGATTGTCAGGCTCAACAGGTAGTGATCAATGGCTCGATGTCTAGCTGGTATCAAGCGGAGTGCCCCAGGGGTCTGTCATGGGGCTGGTTTTGTTCAACATCTTTAATGATCTGGATGATAGGATAGATTGTACCCTCAGCAAGTTTGCAGATGACACTAAGCTTGGGAGGGGCGGGGGGAGAAGTAGATACACTGGAGGATAGCAATAGGGTCCAGAGTGACCTAGACAAATTGGAGGATTTGGCCAAAAGAAATCTGATGAGGTTCAACAAGAACAAGTGCAGAGTCCTGCACTTAGGACGGAAGAATCCCATGCACTGCTACAGGCTGGGGACCGACTGGCTAAGCAGCAGTTCTGCAGAAAAGGACTTGGGTATTACAGTGGATGAGAAGCTGGATATGAGTCAGCAGTGTGCCTTTGTTACCAAGAAGGCTCACGGCATATTGGGCTGCATTAGTAGGAGCATTGCCAGCAGATCAAGGGAAGTGATTATTCCCCTCTGTTCGGCACTGATGAGGCCACATCTGGAGTATTACGTCCAGTTTTGGGCCCCCCAAAACAGAAAGGATGTGGACAAATTGGAGAGAGTCCAGCAGAGGGCAACGAAAATGATCAGGGGGCTGAGGCACATGACTTACGAGGAGAGGCTGAGGGAACTGGGCTTGTTTAGTCTGCAGAAGAGAAGAGTGAGGGGGAATTTGATAGCAGCCTTCAACTACGTGAAGGCAGATGACAGAACAAGGAGCAATGGGGGAGGTCTAGTTGCAGTAGGGGAGGTCTAGGTTGGATATTAGGAAATACTTGCACTAGGAGGGTGGCGAGACACTGGAATGGGTTACCTAGGGAGGTGGTGGAATCTCCATCCTTAGAGGTTTTTAAGGCCCAGCTTGACAAAGCCCTGGCTGGGATGATTTAGTTGGGAATTGGTCCTGCTTTGAGCAGGGGGTTGGACTAGATGACCTCCTGAGGTCTCTTCCAACCCTAATCTTCTGTGATTCTTCCATGTAGGCGTATATGTGGTGGATGTCCAGTGCAGGTACTCAGTATGGAAGAGATACAGTTATCTGATCAAATGGATTGGAAAAGGATTGAAAGGAAATCATCCTTTATGGGAGTTGAGCAGGGGAGCTTGGGGCTCCTATGTCTTGTCAATGGGGAGCTGACCCCACTTCCTTCTCCTGGTCCCTTTAAGGGGGGCTGAATAAGAGGGTTTAGGGCACCTATATCTTGAACAGCAGGGAGCCAACCCACTCCTTCCTGCATTGTACAATTTGTTGCCAAGTACTCCCAGATATTATACATGAATACAGTTGTAGCCTAATTAAACCATATCCATGGCCTCCTGTCTTTCTTCTGGCATGGATGGACAATGAATAAAGGTCACTCTGATGCAGATACCTTAATATTTGTTTTCTTGTATGCTCAATTTGGCAATCCACAATGGATCCGTCTCTTCCAGTATTAGTTTGAATTAGCAAGGTTCTGCTCAGTGTGTGTGTATGTGTATATCTTGGCTTTCTCGGGGAGAATAGCTACCTTTATATAAAATTCAGTCTGAACCCTCAACAAATTTCTATCATTTTAGTTCTTCTAAACCCTTTTAATGTAGGGTTGATTTTAATGATAATTTACATGCAAGATGTTTGAATATTTAAAGCAAAGACTTGAAGGATACTTTTCAAGTGCGGAAACAAGATTTCCTCTTATTTTGTGAAATATCAGGTCCATATTGATTTTTTTAGCTCGGTAGCTTTGAGTTCTGATCGGTATTTCCCTGCATTCTGGAGAAACCTCTGGACAAAGGCAGCCTTCAATCCTGTGGTGGGTTTTTTTGTTTTTTTTTTTTGGTGCCAATAATATCTGCTTTATGGACTTTGCTTTAAAGAAAGCATCTGTAACTCCGATATAGTTCTAACAATTCAATGGAAGTTTCACCTGAGGTAATGGCTGAATAAGGCCCTTTCTGAGTAATTATAAATGGCTGTTAGGATTCTATAGGAATTACAGATGCTTTCTTTAAATCTGCCTCCAAAAAGTAGATATTATAATAGTGGTGAAAACCCTTTAGGGTCAAAGACTGTGTTTGTCCCGAGGCTTCCTTAGAATGCAGGAAAATTAATTATTTGAATGCAAGGCTACTAAGTTAACAAAATTAATACAGACCTAGTGCAGTGAAAACTGTTCAAAGGACACCCTTCACAAGGCAACTACTTATCTTCAGAGACTTTCCCCAAAGTATCCCCTAGCCTAGTGGTTCTCAAACTTTTTTTTTCACAGACCACTTGAAAATTGCTGAGGGTCTCGGCGGACCACTTAATGATCTTTCCAAATGTTGTTTGTACCATTAGCTAACTATTGTAAAGAGCTTTGGATAAAAGCGCTATATTAAAAAGCCTTAATAATAATAATAAACATTTTTTTGTTCTACAAATAAAAGCACACAACTCATATTTTAATATCAGTAGTCTTACCTTTCTAATGCAATGGATGTGCCAACTCTACCCCACCGCAGCAGCCCCTGAGATGGGGCTGGGAAGGAGGGCCGTCTCTCCCCAGCAGCCGCAGCCCTGGATCTGGGGAAAGTCACCTCTTTCTCTGGCCGTCGCAGCCCTGCACATCCCAAATTCCTCCCACCCCTCTTCTCACCCCACTGCCCCCTCCCACCTACCTACCCCCTATTCCCCCCAAGGCCACCACCTCACCTTACATGTGCGTCTTCTCCAAAGTCCAGGCACCTAATTAAGGGAGCCACACCTGTGCGGCTGCACTAATTAGGTGGGTGGCCCCTATTCTCTTGTGTGTGGCCACCCAGGCACGCACCTTAGAGGGAACTATCCACGAACCACCTGAATGGAGCTTGCGGACCACAGTTTGAGAACTTCTGCCTTAGCCATTCTGGTTACAACACTACCCCTCCTTCCATAGGCACCAACTTCCACTATTCCCGGTGGGTGCTTGACCCCGCTCCTGCACCACCCTCGCCCCGCCCCCATTCCACCCCTTCCCCAAAGTCCCCGTCCCCTTCCCCCAAGTCCCCGCCCCTGCCCCACCTCTTCTCCACCTCCTCCCCTGAGCGTGCCGCGTCCCCGCTCCTCCCCCCTCCCTCCTAGAAAGTCCTAAGTGCTGTTTGGCGGTGGGAAACGCTGGGAGGTAGGCAGAAGAGCGGGGACGCGGCACACTCGGGAGGGGGAGGGGAAGGAGGGGAGCTTGGCTGCCGGTGGGTGCAGAGCATGTCCCGGAGCATCCATGGAATCGGCGCCTATGCCTCCTTCACTACAAGGCCATCTCTTTTAAGCAGCTGAAGTTTGTCTGTCTCTTGAGTGATTGTTTGACAGTGATACTCAGACCAAAGTGGTTCAGGAGCCAAATTAGTGATCATCATTACCCCAAAGACCCAAAGTAGGGTGAATTCACTGTTTCATTCATTCTCTCTGTGTGTGTGTGTGTGTGTGTGTGTGTGTGTGTGTGTGTATATATATATACACATTTTATATTTTATATTTTTATATAAATTATATTTATATTTATACATTTATATATATATAAAATTCTCACAGCAAAATGACTGACCAAGTATTATTAACCATCTGTAGTTGATACAATAATAACATAGTAAAAGCATCCTGATTGGTTAATAACTTAGACTGGTTAGTATTGAAATCAGTGTTTTAATATCATGTGCTGCAAAGAGCTGCAGGAGACCCATTAAAGCGTCACTTGCGGCTTGCGAGCCTCAGTCTGAGCATCACTTGCTTAAGACAAGTTTCACTACATTTAAAAAAGGAAAATATTGCCACGTCTATCTGAAAAATTTCATTATATAAGTCTTTGTCTAAAAGCAGTTCTCATAGGGTTTAAACCAAATCATATTGTTGTTATGCGGTAGCATGTAAACCAAGATCAGATCCCTTTGTGATAGGCACTGTACAAACACATACTGAGAGACAGTCTCTGTCCCAAAGAATTTACTATCTAAATAAGCAAGACAAAGAGTAAGAGGGGAAAGAGAGATACAAAGGGGTGAAGTGACTTGCCCAAGGTCATACTGACCATCCGTGGCGGAAGTGGAATTTAATCTGCTGGGGATAGAACCAAGCTATCCTGAATCCCAGTTGACTCCCATGTCCACTGGTCTACAATACCCCCGACTTAATATCTAGCTCTGGCCATTTTACTTGGCCTTTCATATTTTGTCCTTCTGAATCTGCATTTACGGTGCAGTTGCTTTGTGGAGAAGAAAGGGAATGGAGAATAAAAATTCACAAGTACAGCTGTGTACTAAAGGGTAAAATAAAACCTTGTCTAAATTCTGTCCAACTGCTGCATATCTCAGTTGGCCTTTTTAACCAGAGGACTGGCCACATTTTTGAATTGTGCAGAAAGTACATTGAATATGTGTATATGTTTAATTATATAGGTCCTGCATAGACAGCAGTCCCAGCCTGCAAAGGAAAACACACCTCCAAGAGAAGAGGCCCCACCTCCACCTGCTGAGGACAGTTGTGCCAAAAAGCCAAGATCCCGTACCAAGATCTCCTTGGAAGCTTTAGGCATCCTTCAAAGTTTTATCCATGATGTAGGCCTGTATCCTGACCAGGAAGCCATTCACACTCTGTCCGCTCAGCTGGATCTGCCCAAACACACGATCATCAAATTCTTCCAGAACCAGCGTTACCACGTAAAGCACCACGGGAAGCTAAAAGAGCATTTGGGAACAGTGGTTGATGTGGCAGAGTACAAAGATGAGGAGCTGCTGACTGAATCGGAGGAGAATGACAGTGAAGAAGGCTCTGAGGAAATGTACAAAGTGGAACCGGAAGAGGAGAATCCTGACAAAAGCAAGGCAACTCCTTCAGAAATTGACCAGAGATAATGTGAGCCCATGATACAGAAAGCAATACATTGATTCAAGGATTTTCTGTTTATTTTTATTAATTTGTTTTTTTCCCCTCTTTTTGCATTTGTTGTTGTTGTTTCTGTTGCACACGATCGGTGTGAAAACTGAATGAATTCAGCATCGTCCAATTAAAACATCGCCTTGACACAGACACTTGAGTGTTACACTTTTACGTTTGACTGAGATAATAGTTGTAATCACATAGGATTATGCCTGTTTTAATCTTGCACTTATGAAAGGGACATCTAGCAAGTTAACAGGAAGAAAAAGACCTATGAAATCAATGAAGGAAAATTTACAGCTGTGTGTGTGTGTGTGTGTGTGTGTGTGTGTGTGTGTGTGTATATATATATATACACATAAAATTTTATATATATATATAAACATATATATATAAAATAAAAATTGCATGGGACAGAACTTTACAATCCGAAAGTATAGACTGTGAAATGAGTTCTTTAAAGATGAAACTTGTTTATGTATTAAAACCACTTCACAATGAGTTGCTTTGGCTTTTTGATAACTGCCGCCTGCTCTCAGGGTGTGGTGACTATTTTTGAATTCCTATTTATTTTCTATGTTTATCCCTGATTTTTTTTTATTATTGTTATTATATGGCTTCCTATCTGGCAACTTGATGGGTAATTTTTGAGGTATGTATTTAAAGACATAAATAAACACTGCCAAAAAAATAAGAGAGAAAACGGAAAAAAAAATCAGGGCACCTTAAAAACAACTACTATGTTAAAGTACTTTAAAACACAGTGCACACTTAAAATGATACAGCACGTTCCATTATTCAGACTGCCCTTTCTGTAGTGAACAGATGAATTTTCATGGAATTCAAAATGAGTAAAACTGAAATTCAGTACATAGAAGACTTGTCCGTTAATGAGGTCTTGATTAAAAAATAGCATTTTGAGATTTGATGTATGGAATTCATACTATGAACCACGTTTTACTGTGGAGTTTATTTACTTGTTCTCTGTTTCAGTTCTTAAAATTTATACATTTTATGCCTTTTATTTTTTGTTGTTGCTTTTAGTTTTTATTATTATTTTTTGATTCAACATAAAGTCAAGTTAGGAAACTAGAACGTCAAAACCCACGTGGGTAGAAAACTGTCCAGTTAAATTGATTGATAAAGGGGGTCTCCCACTCTTGGCTTCCCTTTCCCTTTCCCCTTTTATGTCTATTAAACTTGGGCTTCCTTTGTTTCATGCACATTATTTCAGTGGTACTAAGCGCTTTCAGCCACTGGTCTCACAAGCTGTAGCCCACATTCAGTGCATGGCAGCCCTGATGCGAACACATTTTTCAATCTTCCTGCAGCCTAACAGCTCTAGGTAATAAGAGTGAGCGGCGATATCTGTGTAGTCACCTTCTTGTCATAAATTGAAACATTTTCCCAGACACCTAACATAGCAATTACATTACATAAAGCAGAACTTATGCTGACTGACTCTTCAATGGTATGAGCACTAAAGCTGCAATCTACTATAGTTTCCAACTGTTTTGAGGCATCTTGTCGGGAGCAACACTAGGTAGCATTACTGTTCACTTCCATGTAATGATTTCCAAGAGAAGACCTCACCTTCACTACTATTGCAGCTGGACTTATTGCAGACTCCTTCTAAACTGCAGTCAGAACCATGTCTGCAGGGTTTCCTTTTTGTACGTGTTGTGCTTTTATGTAACCTTGACAAAGACCTCATGCAATATCGCTTTGAAAGTTATTTTCTGTTTACCACACCAGGCATTGTAATATAACTGTTAATACTATTTATATATTTGAAAGGTATAAAAGTAGGAGTAAAAACAAAAAACAAACCTCTGTGTTGATCTTTACTCAGAACGTACAATATACAGGGAGAAGACATGTTGCAATACAAGCTAATTCTAGCTGCTCAGTAACCTCTGAAGTTTTTAAAGGGACTTTTTCAAATAATGTTTTGAAACATAACAGTATCTCTGCATTAATTTTATGTACCTTTGCAAAATGATGGTGGTTTGCTTAATTAAGTCCTTCTTGCTCCTCATTCTTTATTTCTGTAGTATGCTGCAGCTTTAATCAGAAGTTCAATGGTTGCTGCTTTATGTTCTTTGAAGAGTTACTCTTTCAAAACTGTCTTCTTTTGCTGTTACTGAAATCACTCCATCTGTGTAAAAGGAAACTGATTTTTGCCCTTGCAAAGTTGTTCATCTGTTGATGGCATCAACATTTGGTATCTTTTACACTTCAACCAAAAATTTTATTAGGTATTTTTTCAATGCTGAGTCTTGCCTTTTATTTTTAATTTCACTGCCAATTTTGCAGTGGTTCTAAGTGAATCTGTGGGCATTTTAGCCTGTGGTCTTGCCAGAACTTTGCGAATTACAATGCATATATGTCTATTTATTCAGTATCCATCATATAATATCTATTTGGAAAAAGAAACTTTTCTTGTAGTGCCTCTTAACAAAGCACAATTTTCCGCCTTTTTTGTGAAATAAAAAATAATAAAAAAATAAAAAAACAAATTGTGTTTTATTGCGGTATCAACAATGTGAATAAGGATTAACATATTGTAAATGTTCTTTTTTCCATGTAAATCAACTTTATCTTTGTTATCACTAAGTGATAATTAATTTTTAACTTATGTGCATTGTTAGGCTGTTAGAATTTTTTGGTTGTTGAAATAAAACGCATTCAATAAATATGACTTCATTTGTCAAGTAATTCACTGGGCCTTATTTTCTTTCTCTCTGAGATCAAATGAACCAGGCCTATGAAATAAAGGAAAAATAAGTGTTCCTATTTTGGAAATAAGATTTGTTCAGAACAGCATTACCAGTCATTACAGATGTTTGCTAAATCCATATAAGGCCATTGATGTCAGTGGAGCTTTAGTGAATTAGAGCAGCTGAGAATCTGACCCATTATGTTACTGGATTTTGACTGTGTCACACACACATATCATCTGTGACAGGATGGGAAGGGAGGGGCATAGATGCATTGCCTTTCAACCAATTGGATCACGGTATGCAAAATGAACTCAAATGTATAAAGATATTTGTTAGCCCGCTCCCGTATTTCACTGATGGATATTTCTGTTTATAATTAAAAAGCCACAAATGACTGCGTGTCATGAAACTTTTGGAACACACATGTCCATGGTTAATGGACATAAAAAAAGGCTTTTATTATATTTATGGCAGGACATCCTACTGAGTGTCTAGGGGAATGCCTCAAGGATTGATGTATCTGTGGAAATGTGTGAAAATGATTTTTTTGAGGGAATGCAGATAAATGGAAAAAATTGTCCAAATTCTTAAGCTAACAAAGTAGCGAGTGCCTGGATTCCATCCTAGCAGACAGAATTTATATTGAACTCCAGACTTTACAGTCCTTGCTTGCTTTAGGTATTGTCATTTTCCCCACCCCCCATTATAATTCTATGGCTAGGATGCAGCGGTTCTTCCCTTAATGACTCATTTACATTCCACACGAAACCGGCAGAATTCCTTGTTTAAAAAAAAATAAAACGACAATAGATAACTGTGTCTTACGATACCCAACCACCTGCTTGTCAATTGAATTTTGGAATGTCACCAGAGACCAAGTAAAAACAACTGTATGTTAAATTAATGCTGCTGCACTTGGAAGCTACTCACACAAGCGCCATTTGGTTATGTTTTGTTTTTCTGGCACGCATAATTGCTACTTTTCACTTTATTCCACTTACCTTTGAATGAACCCTGGGGCCTTTTTCTCTCTACAATGGAAGTAATAAGTGCACAGCAATACTGTACCTATTGACAGACAACACCACTACTAACCAAGCCTCTTCCATGTCAAAGCCACAGCTTGCCTAGTATCTGAAAAGATGCATCAGTCAGGCAGTCTTCAGCCCAGCATTAGGGACTGATCACTGCTCTGAACTACCAGTGAAGGCCTCATGCATAGCAGCTGCTGGACCAGGCCTTGTGGCTTCTGCTGACTTCAGTGGCCTTTGGGACCTGATTCAGCAAAGCACTTAAACGTGTACTGAAGTCTATCCTTATTCAGCAAAGGATCAATGGGATTTAAGCACGTGCTTGAGTTCTTTGCCGAAGTGGGAACTTGGTGGTCCAAGGTAATGAAGTTCTCAGAGCTGGTTTTAAATTTTCCGTTGAAATAAAATGTCAACAAAATACAGAAAATGTTTCATCATTTCCCTCCATTTCCAGATTAGGGCAATTTTGAAGATCCTGCAAGGTGCTGAGTGCTTTTATCCCCATTTAAACCAATGGGTGCTTAGCCCCTTGTAGCAGACAGGCAAAGAAATAGCAGCATTAATGTTTCCATCTATCCTCTAGACCTCTTTATACGCACACTGTATTTTTTTAATTTGAAAAAAAAAATCTTACAAACATATGGATACTTCTTCCAAACTCTTAAAAACAATCATTTAATAGCTGCTATGGTAGAAATATTTCTATTAATAATGCTTCTATTTCTCCACACTTTACCTGCTGCTGCTGTCTGTTAGGCATGTTTTAGTCTTCCAGACATATGTATTTCCATTTAAAAACCTATGTAACTGAAAAAATAAACAGTTAAGATTTTTTTAAATTATGTACAACATACTGTCTATTCCCTACAATTCATCATCATTCAAGTACACCTCTACCCCGATATAACGCTGTCCTCGGGAGCCAAAAAATCTTACCGCGTTATAGGTGAAACCGCGTTATATCGAACTTGCTTTGATCTGCCGGAGTGCGCGGCCCCCCACATCCCCCCGGAGCGCTGCTTTACCGCTTTATATCTGAATTCGTGTTATATCGGGTCATGTTATATCGGGGTAGAGGTGTATAAGTATACCTCCCATCTCCTCCTTTGTATCCAGAAACCAATGAATCTCCTTAGATTAGATTGATTAGCATCCCTGATTGATCAATGTTCTCTTGACAAGCTGGACCTGTTGGACATGCAGGAGTAAAAGCTACAGCACCCAAGATAAGTTGGAAAATGTGCAAAATGTCATCTTAAAATCATAAAGAAGTCATTACAAAAAATCTCCATTTACAATATAAAGTGCACTGATTAATTAAAGATGCAGCTTTAATTTATTTATACCCATTAAAAAAACATACCCGTTTTAACACAAAATAACACAAGCTAAGTCAACCAAAGGAGAAGTGCTGGCGGGCTGAATATTAGAGAATAGGAAGTGAAACAAGGCCAGTGTGAGGCAGAACATGTAGAAACCTTAAATCCTTGAAACCTTTAGCAACATCACTGGAAGCTAGTAATAAACAATGCAGCATGGGGAGAGGTGCAA